TAGGGTTAGCACTGGACTTCAAACTACAAGGTCAGCAGTTCAAACCCAATAGCTGTTCCTTGGAAACTCTATACAGGGTTGCTCATAGCACGTAACAACAGGCAGTGGTAGGGATCCTCCCCCTCCCGTGTTGCCATCGAGTTGATCCCACCTCATAGCATTGCTGGAGGACAGAGTAGAACTGCCCCATAGCATTTCCTAGGCTTTATGGGAGCAGATTGATTGCCCGGCCTTTCTCCTGCAGAACCATTGAAAGGTTCAAATCTCTGACCTCTAGTTAGCAGCCAAGTGCTTAACCACAGCACCACCAGTGCTCGTTGGGTTAGGGATAGGAGCAGTAAGTCCCTGGGTGGTGCAAATGGTTAAGCACTTGACTCCTACTGAAAGATTAGTGGTTTGAATCCATGCAGAGTTTCCTTGTAGGGCTGGTGATCTACTTCTGAAAGGTCAGAGCTTTGAAAACCCTATGGAGCTGTTCTACTCTGCACATCAGGAATTGGCACGGTGGTAACTTAGATGACAGAACAGGAGCCAGGATGGCAGGCAGCTAGAGACAGGGAGAAACCCCAGTTACCGTCAAATTGGTTCTGATGGTGATCCCGTGTGCATCAGAGTCGAACTGCACTCCATAGAAACTGACTGATTCTTTTTTCCCCCTTCTGAAAGGAAACTGCCAAGCTTTTATTTTAAAGCGCCCCTGAGTAGACTTGAACTCCCAACTTTTCAGTGAGCTAGAAGTAAAGGGAGTTAGCCATTTGTTAATTCTTTCGCTTATTAACATAGGGACTGGCACATTGAAGGCCCTCCATTGTTTGAGCAAATGCCACAGTTATTTAGCACCAGTTATGCGTGGTTCGCACTCGCCCCAGCACACATTTAATTACTGAATGCTGTGTGACACAGGAAGTCACCATGGGATAGAGCTAGGTATCCTGGGGAGGGTCAGCGAGTGCGGCTTTGATGGATAGCAGGCGCCTTCCTTCAGTTTACCCATAGATCGTTGTTGTGGTTGTTACATGATGTTGTCAGTTCTACCTCACAGCAACCCTGTATGTTGTTGTTGTCAAGTGCCGTCGAGTCAGTTCCGACCCATAGCGACCCTGTATAGGGTTTCCAAGGAGCAGCTGGTGAGCTTGAACCACC